CTGCCGAGGGGCTTCGGAGCAGGGGCCACCTGGCCGAGACGCGGCCCGGACGCGTGAAACCGTTTCAGACTGTGGGTGGCGCTGTTCGCAGTGGCAGAGTCTCGAGCCGTCGTTGCCACGTCGATCTGGAGAAAGCGGGCAGAAGGCCTCGAACCGAGCGGAGCGCTGCCTGCGGGTCGCCGTGCGGGTCGAGCTTGGGCAGCAGCACGTGCTCAGCGTCGTTTCTTCTGCTTTCCACGGCGTCCGTGTCCACATGCGACGCCGTTCCCACTGCTCCGTGAGGCCGAGTCCCTCTCGCTGGGGCACAGGGAGCAGGTTCTCCCACGTGTCCCCAAGCCCGCAACCCCCGCCGAGCCTCCCGGACCCCGCGGCCGCGTTCGAGGCCCCACCGTCCCCCTGCCCCGGCCAGACACACCCGCGTCCGTGCCGGCCCCTCCCGGCCTCAGTAACCCCCCCGCTCCAGAGCCCGAGCAGACGCCCCGAAGGCCCCGTCTCCCTCCCGCACTCCGGGCTGGACGTGCTTTTCTGGCATTTTTTGCCAGTTAATCAAATCTGACCTACCACGAGTGTGTCCTTCACACCAGCCGAGGACACGGTGATGTCAGGACCTGAAGGTCCTGGCGGCCACAGCTCCGCACCGTGGTGGACACAGCACAGACACCTTTGAACCACCAAAGGCAACGCGCGCTCAGCCATGTGCATTTTGGGCCCCGGCTCGTCTGTGGTCTCTCCAGACCGGGCGTGATGCAGACCCCCACCCTCGCCCGCACGTGACGTGTGGGCCGCCTCCGCCGGCCTCCTGGCGTCCCCAGTGGCGCCAGGGGAGCCAGCGCGGGCGACGGCCCTGACTCCGTGTTTGTGCCTCAGGCCTACATGGAGGACCACCTGCAGAACAAGGACCGGCTGCAGAAGGAGTGGGAGGCGCTGTGTGCCTACCAGGCGGAGCCCAACAGCTCGCTCGTGGCCCAGAGGGAGGAGAACGTGCCCAAGAACCGCTGCCCGGCCGTGCTGACCTGTACGTACGCCCGGGGCCGTGGGGGCCGTGGGGGTGGAGGCCGTGGGGGCCATGGGGGCCGTGTGGGTAGTGGGGGTCGT